TAGAAATTGAAATCCTAATTCCAAATTCAAAAATCCAATCAATTTCAAATGTAAATATTAATATTTAATCATATAAATTTTTAAATTTTAAATTAAATTTTAATTAAATAAAATGGTGTAGTTTATGGTTATGATTCTAATTTTTTTGAGAGTCAAAATTGATATGTATTTTTTCCTTATATTAAAGAAGGTGAAAATATTGCAATGAAACTCAAGAGGTAATCTAACAAATTATTACTTTCATATATTACAACTAATAACACATTGAAGTACAATGTAAATCAAATAATAAAAAATGTTAGAAAAGAAATAGCTCAATACTATATAGGGAAATGATACATATATGCTCTAAAATTACACACTTCGTTATATATTGATAGTTTACGTTAATGTGCCGTTAAAATTAACGATTTTCATTACTTATATTATTAAAACTGACAGTTTTTATTATTTATATCGTTAAAACTAATGCTTTCCATCAATTTTAATAGCACACTAACAGAAACCGTTAATATATTATGGAGTGTGTAAGTTTTAGAAGGTGTAACGGAGTGTGTAATTTTTGAATGATATATGTATCTGTGTCCTATTATATATCATGTCTAATTACATTTTTATCTTTTAAACATTAGTTACATTACTACAGTATCCTCGATCCCACAACTTTCATACCTTTGAGTAAGGTTTAGCCTAAATGCAGATCCAAATTGGACTTGCCACCCTACAGAAACAAAACCAATCGATTGCCCCCCTGCCACAACCTTCCTTCCACGGGCATCTACATCCATGCCTTTCCTCTCCTCACCAGTTTCAATCTTTCCTTTACCCTTATCCACTCCTTTCCTACTTAGCCCTTTTCCAACCCTAGCATCACTTCCCTTTGGCCTGCCCCCTTCTCTCCCTCTCCCTTACTACCAAACATCGATGTTACAACTTAGAACAAGTTGGTATAACTCTACTTTTAACAATGTGTTAGAGTTGTCATTGTTTAATTATACTGTTGATGGTACATAAAGTTGTATTAGAAAACTCTATCTATAGATTAGCAATCTGCAGCCAAGGAAAAAGAAAAAGATTAGTCCTCTGCATTTGGCAGGGGCACAATTCTAAATCAGACTAATTCATACAAGAAACATGGACAAATCAGAAGCAGATAATTTTATAATTTATACTACTCTTTTTTCCTTTTTTTTTTTTTTACAAAATAAAAGTTACAATTATTGTTCAAGTTTTGGATTTATTCAACGTTCAATTCAACACGTAGATGCAGTTCCCACGAAATTTCGCCCCCAAAGAAGGAGGGAAAGACACTTTGTTTTTTTCTTCCCACTAAACTGACATACGAAGAAGCAGCATTTTAACTGACAAATCAGCTAATCTTTCTCCTCCTTCTTCATAGAAATCCAGGAAAGTCGAATTAATCCCTGGAAGGGAAAACAATGAACAATGCAGATGTCTCGAAGCAGATCCAGCAGATGGTTCAATTCATCCGTCAAGAGGCGGAGGAGAAAGCCAACGAGATTGCCCTTTCCGCCGAGGAGGTTCTTCAGTGTTCTCCTCTTTTGATTATCCTCATTCTTCAATACCCAGATCGGAAAAAAGAAGAGTGAATGCAAATTTATTTATGGAAGCAAATGTGTTCTCTTTGAATTGTTTTTCTTTTGCAGGAATTTAACATTGAGAAATTGCAATTAGTTGAAGCTGAAAAGAAAAAGATTAAACAAGAGTACGAGCGGAAGGGGAAGCAGGTGCAAGTTCGGAAGAAAATGTAAGTCTTCTGTTTAGGAATTAGGATCAATGTGATGAATTTACGGTTTTTTTTT